ATCATGAGAACGAAATCGTTTCTTTTCTTTCATTGACGGTGGCACTGTGTTTATCATATGTCAATGTTCATCCCTGTATCCATTGTCTATTTCTTACGTTCTATCACTACACATTAAGGCTTATTTTGTGTTGTTCATTGTAAAATTTCGTTGAAAAATAATTAAATGAATCTAATATCATTTTTGAAAAATTTGATTTTGCAGAAAAAATTATTGTTACGAAAAGAAACACGTCAGGTCATCGGAATTCAGCATAAACAATCCAGAAAAATCATAAAAATAGCATGTTGAAAAAAATTGAATTTTCATGTCACTCAACCCAAATGGGTCGTTTTCGACCCATTTTTAAGTATCGCAGGGAAAGAGCTTCACCGAAATTTGGCTACATTCTTGGCATATTGGGCCCGTATTTACACTATCCCTATACTTGAATCGGTATTAACTTTGTCGGATCGGTTTTAGGGGGTAAAGGGTTAATCTTAATCGTATTGGCTATAGTTGGTAACCTATTAAAATTTGAAGTATTGGACAAAGGATTGATCCATATCACATTTCCTCTGTCGTTTATATTTTTTTCTTATTCTAAAATAATTTAACATCATCTTTAGGAAACAAAATGGAATCAGCTATTGAAAAACTTCGTAAATACCGTGATGAAGATTATCATTTACACGATGAAATAATTGAATTATGGGCAAACATTTTATCTGAATGTGATTTATCAATATTAGGAGATGAAAAATGGTTAATACTTGAACAAGTATTCAAATCAGCATTACATTGTTCAAAAGAATCAATGGCTCATCAATGTCTTGAACGAATAGAAAAACAATTTGAAAAAACAAGTCCTCTTCTAATCACATTAAATGCAATGTATTTTGAATCAATTGAAGATTTTGAAAAAGCTGAACAAATTTGTTCAACATTAATAGAAGAAAATGAAACAGATGACATTAAAAAATTTCTTGGTTTAACTAATTATTTACTTCATATTTGTAGAAAATCACACGGTCTTCCTTTAACTTGTTTAAAACTTATTGAAGGTTATTGTCAAAAAATTACAAAATGTATCAACGATGACAATTCTTTATTAAATGATATGAAAAATGTACTAAACGAAATAAAAGATTTACTTCAATTAATTGATCTGAACGACATACAAACAGCAAAAATTAATCGTATTACCCAGGTCCAATAAAACGGCGTCGTAAACGGCCTGAAACGGCTATAAAACGGCGATTAACGATGTAAAACGTCGATAAACGGCACCGTAATCCGTCATACCAGATTACGGAAGCAAAATCGGAAAAAAACGACCGCCGTTTTCTAGCGATAGACGGTGGTCGTAATATGGTATGACGGATTGCGGCGAAATAAGGCCAAAATTACTGCAGTAATTCGCCGTTTTATAGTCGTTTCAGGCCGGATACGACGCCGTTTCCGACGGCCGGAATGATCCACCAATATATTGGTGTTCTTGAATCTTGTTATTCCCGACTATCAGTATGTTATTGTCTTAGTATTGTTAACTTATTTTTTATTCCTGTCTTGTCTTCTAGAATGAAATTAATCAAATGAAAAAAGAATTATTGAACGTAAAACATCAATATGAACATCAAAATAGTGCATTAGATGAATTACGTAAAGAAATTATTGATTTAAGGTAATATAATCTTTTTTTTTTTAAATTTCTGAAATATTTGTTTGTAGAAAACAATCCAGCATGCAGGTACTTAAAGAAGCATCTGCTCATTCACTTATTCCGTTCGTAGAACAAGTAACAAAACAGTTGGAAAATGAAAACGAAGAACAAACAAATTTAATTTCAGAAGAACCAGATGATTTTCAAAAGTTTTATAATAAATATTAGCTAGAAATAATAAAATCCGATGTTGCATTAGATGAAGGACCATTAACAACTATTGATAATGTCATAAACGATTTCGTTAAACAATCAAAAATAGCAAAACCAGATTTTATTGATCTACTTATTAATAAAACAAATCGCAATCGTAAATCTCATCATATTATTGACTGTTACATCGACAATTATATCAATAATCGGTTTACGGAAAATTTTATTGAATTTTTAGAACGTGAAAATTCGATCAAATTAATTGTCGATGATAATGATAAAGTTAATTTAATTAAATTATTAAAGTTGAACATCAAACTTCGACGAAAACAAAATTCTCTGTATGTTATAGAACAAAAACATCTTAATGTTTAAAATTCATAAATTTTTTCTTTTTAGTAATGTATTTCTTAATCAATTTGATACTTTACAAGAACGTAATGATATGATTATTGCTCCATTTCGAATGTCCATCGTTGAACAAGATAAAGTTTGTTTTTTTTATTTTTAAAATAAAAAATTCAATTTTTTTATAGGAAAATGGTGCAATTGTTATGGGTGAAATTGAATCAGGAAGTTGTCATATTGGTGACCAATGTCTAATTATGCCAAATCAGACACGTGTTGAAATTACAAATATTTATCATGAAGACAGTAAAACTGATTCTGGTGTTTATGGATAAAATGTTCAACTTGAATTAAAAAACGTTGAAGAAGAAGTACGTTTTCTTCTTTTATTAATTATCATTTTCTAATCAAGTTTTTTAGAAAATCTCACCTGGTTTTATTTTATGCGATGCTCAGCAAAAACCATGTCGTGTTGGGAGAATCTTTGAATCAGAAGTAAACTAAGTAAATAAATAATTGAAATGTATATTTATATGTTGAAAACTAGGTGATGATAATTAAACATCAATCGGAAATTTATCCAGGTTATATAGCTGTTCTTCGTATTCATGCTGCTGTTACTCGAGTTTATTTAAAAGAATTAATAAAATTAATTGATCCTAAAACAGGTCAAACAACTCGAAAAAAACCAAAATTTATAAAACAAGATCAAGTTGCAATTGTAAGATTTGAATTATCACAATCAGAACAAGTTATTGGTATGGAACAATTTAGACATTTTCCTCGACTTGGTCGATTTGCATTACTTAATAAAAATGGACCTGTTGCTTTTGGAAAAGTTCCCCAGGTCGAGCGTTACGGACTCCGTAAACGACCGTTTACGGCCGTTTACGACGTCGTATACGACCGTATACATACCATATACGCTCCGTATACGACCGTAT